CAGTCGGCAATTATGAACAAACCTTCCAACATCCTGGTTGAGCCTGATTGACCAGACTGGGCTCCCACAGTTTGATTATGCAAGCATTACAACCCAAATGACCAGAATGGTTTCCTTAGTTGATTGAACAAACTGTATGATTTGATTGAGTGGGGATTTTTTTTTTTTTTTTTTTGGGGGGGGGGGGGGATGGGGACAAGGACAACCTGATGATCAATTAGAAAAGCCTCCTTATATGATCTGGTTGCTCAGGGCGGATGATGGCCTGATTGATCAGGAGGCCAGGCTGGGGTTCTTCCTCCTAGACCAACTGATCTATGTCAAGGATGATCAAGAAAGAGGGACAGCTCAGAGTGTACAGCGGCTGCCTGATTAGTTACTTGTATAATCAACCTTCTTCCGGGGTCTGCCAGACTGCATAATCTGATTGACAGGGGGTGGAGTTCTCTTGTGATCTTACAATACAAGACATCCAATGAAGCCTAATCAAGCCATGTTAATGTTATAGACATCAAAGGCTTTCATCTACTACTAAGCAGTCGGAATGGAGAGGTCACTGAAGTCTGTCACTGATGAAGATCATTTTGTATTGCATTATTATGTGATCTCTTTTTTTTTGGATTTGGATTTTGAAAAACAACAAATACAGATAACAATAATAAAAAAAAAGATGATGATGATTTGAGATGACTACTACTACTACTACTTGATGTAGCTCTGAGATAACACAATTAGAAACATGAATTTAGATTTGGAAAAGAGTCTGTTTTTGTTTTTCTTCTTATTTTAGAGTGTTAGTTTTGAGGTTGTATCTGATAAGATTTTGAAATAAGAGAGGAGAGGAGGGAGGAGGAGGAGGAAAAACAAAGAAGGAAAGATGAAGAGATCATGGAATACGAATAAGATTATTGACTCAAACAATGAGTCCCTTTTTTTGTTCTTCTTCTTGGTTGTTGTTGTTGGGTAGATACAAATACAGATCATTATCATCATCATCATCACACACACACAATAACAATAACAAATAAAACAATTACAAATAAAAGAAAGAAAGAAAGAAACGGTGAAAGAGGTGAGAAACGCGGACAACGACAAGGATGATGGCGATTTTTTTTTGTTCTTTTTTGGTTTATGACGATGACGATGGTGAAGGAAGAAGAAGGATAAGAAAAGAAAAGAGAAGGAAACCAAAGAAAGATAGAATATAAAGAACTAAATCAAGTAGAATAAGAGATTGAACATATTTTATACAAATGACCAGATGAAGATTGATCATCAATTGTATGTAATGAGAATGAAAGAGAGGAAACGAAAAACAATTACCATCCGGTACGGTGAAAGCCTTTCGAAAAGTTACGATATTCTTTATTATTATTTGTAAGACTAGCGAGATGAGTTTTCTTGAACTGAGTAGAAGTAGTAGCAGCGGCAGCAGCAGCAGTAGATGTAGTAGTAGCCGTAGTAGTGCCCGTGTTATTATTATTATTATTGGGGTTCTGATTAGGATTAGCGATGGGATTATTAGAAGAAGAGGTGGAAGGATCGGCAGTGGATGTAGTCGTAGAGGAATTGGGAAGATTAGAGGCATGTTGATGGTGACGAAAGCCAAGAGCCAACGACTCCGACCGATTGACTTCGACCCTCGAAGGAACCACGCCGAGCGCGAGCCCCTGAATCTGACGTTCCCAGAGCAAGTTTCTACGCACACTCTCTGTCATCTCGTTGGCGAGCATATTCCTACGAGTTGTCCGGGGAGACAGAGGGGGTGCCACAGGTTCGGGCCGGTTGGCGAGTAACAGGGCGCTGTTTCCGAGCGCTATCGGCTCCGTATTCGTCCCCGTCCTGCGCTCTAGTCTTCCTAATCGACGCTCCTGGTCTGCGCGTTTCTGCTCTGCTCTCTTGCCTCTCTCCTCGTCTCTTCCGCCTGATCCACCTTCTCCTTCCTCCGAGTTCGACTCCGAGTCTTCCGAATACTCTATGTTCTCCGGCTTGCCCCCTAGCCTGGACGGATGTCTCTGATGGGCCGGATGCGGCAAGCTACGGGTAGGCGGCTGAGGGTTGGCCGTGGTCGAAGGACCGGCGGTCGGTGCGGCACTGTTTCTCCGGGTCGGGGGACGATGACGGAGGGAGGAGTTGCCAGACAGACTCGAGGGAGAGCGCTGGACCATCACCGGAGGATCTTGGCCGGCAAGGACGGGCACGGCGACGGAGGACTTGGACTTGATCAGAGAGCAGGGTCGGGCAATCACTCCGATCGACGCCCTGCCCTGTCCCTCACCCTCCCCCGGCTTCCGCGAGGACGACGAGCCCGCCCGACGCAGCTCGACCGCAGACTGATTCCGTAAGGGCCCGCGAGAGGCTCCCCAGCTTGACGTGCTGCTGCTTGATGATGCACGTCGGGATGGTGTGAAGATGGTTGAGCTCGGGATGGA